ATACACACACAGACAACCCCTCGACAGTATGCGTTTTTGCATTGCATAGATGCAAAAAACGCATAATAACTAGCTGCCTACAGGCAGCTCAAAACCGAAGAGCCCGAAAATAACTGCATGCCACTTTTCGGTGAATCTTAGAAATGACTGTAATGTCTAGTAGTCACATTTCTATCTGCGCGAAGTTGGACGCGTGGCAAACGCTCAGTGGACAGAGTAGTTTCTCACATTGCTTTAAATGAACTGCTTTTGATGCATTATGCCTTTTTGTTGTCTTTCACTGTGCTAACTGTAGCGGTACATTTATTCAGGGACAACGCTGGGTACAGTTGCTCAGATGGATACCTGGGTATGGACTGTTAAGGCTAGGCCAAACACAAACGCAGTAGTTGGTTAGTTTTAATGAGATTGAAACTGTCTCGTACGTGCATCACTGTGTTGGAAACACGGTATCATTATTGCAGTTGGCTGTGTGGATGGAACGTTGGCCTGCTATCAGCTAATGTTCAGCACCGTGCACGGTTTACATAAGTTAAGTCCCTTCTTTTTTATCTGTGTTCATTTAACTGAACTACACAATGCCAACAATGCTTTCTTGAACTTCACTGCGTTGCTACACTTACTATTTCACATTCACATTTTATTCAATTGCCAAGTAGGACACATGCGTACTTGCATACACACATGTCATGCGCTTGATATATAAGGAACGAAACACAAAAGCAAAACGAAGACTTGCAGCATTTAAGATCAGTGCAACGGGAAATTTGCACTTTAACGTATCACGTCACAAAACAGGGCTGTTAATGGTGCTAGCGAACGTCTCAACAGAATGAGCCCTTTTTAACACGTTTTTTTGCTAGTCGAGGACGAAGTTTCAACCTGTTAAGCCATGTGCAGATTGAGCAGAGTCCGCAGTCCAGGAACTCCTTCCAATCTAAATCGACGTGGTCGTGAATCAACTGAAACACAAGAATTAAATCAAAAACAATTTCCTTGCTTGGTTCCCAAAGTTTCATGTACGTATATATTAAACTTTGATCAGCTGCAATTCACAGCGTTTTTTTTTCGGCTAACAGGTAGCAACTCTTCCAGTCGCTTAGACTCGTGAAGAAATTACTGATTGCACTGTCCTCCTGTCAAAAACACTTTGACAAGGCTTTAGCCGTTTCGAAATAGGTTTGCTGCTCGTTGAGAACCAGCATCTCATGTTGAGCGTTGCCACTCCTAAACAGCGGTGAGATACCTCACCGATTGGACATATTGTGTAATTATATGAATGAATAAATATCGAGTGAATTTAGATAGCCATAAGTTTAGGAGCGATATGCGTATCGCGAGAATATGACCGAAGTTGTTGTGCAGCATCTCGGAAAACAAACGTCGGTCAGGATCCGTTGCGGTGATTTAGTACGCAAAGTTGCTGTGTATCATAATCGCTTAGCTGTAAGTTTTTAAAATACGTGTAAAGCTTTGAGACATGTATCTCATACCTCTGGCACGCATTAGATTGAGACAACGTTCATATAGCGAAAAAGTAGGTCATTTCTCAAAATTCCTATGATTTCATTTTCTCCTTTTGCATTTCTTAAGTTTCGTCCTTTTTATGTTTTGAGATTATTTTTAGAAAGAGATTTTAACTTTGTCTGCTTATTACAAGTTCTAAGCCAGCTGTCTTGTACTTTTATTGTCTTCTTTCACTTCTCCTTAGATGTTCCACATGTGGATTACACATTTCAGCACAAATACTGCTTTGATTTTTTTGCGTTAAGATCTAGCGGCGACTATCGGATAGCTGCTTCTGAAAAGCTATGTAACACGGAGTGAATTTTGCTATAGGTGCAGCTCACTGACCGTGTTCACATTTACCGGCAAATGGCCGAGCGCGACGACGGACAGCTCGAATATCGTTTGGTTGAGAAGATTAATCAAGCTTTCGATTGCTCGCTGCTTGTAAGTACTCCCTCCATTTCCACAAGTCATTTAGAAAATCAAACGAAAAATTTGCCTTTTGCTATTTTGAATGCTGTGAAGGTCGAAGAAAAATGATGATTTGTGCTGTAAATTCTAAATTATTTATTTTCTCAGGTAGTCTGTGCGCAGCATTTGATACTCTGCCAGGAGCGGCGACTGCAGTGCTACGATCACAAAGGGCTTAAACAGCGGGAATGGGTTCTTGAGTCACTGATACGCTATATCAAGGTTATTGGTGGTCCACCTGGCCGTGAATCCATTTTGATTGGCCTACGCAACGGGGCCGTAAGTTCCAGCTGTTGCTATACTTTCGATTTTTTGATCAGCTTTTGTTTCATTGTCGTGTTTTTTATCTTTGTTGTTGCTACCTATTTTCTTCTCAATTGAACTTATCGCTCCCAAATGTCAGTATATCCGAGTGGATTATTCAGTCTTATTGGCAACCTTCCTTATGCTTGTCTGGTACCCATAAACGACCTGATTTGTGCATTTGTCAGTTTGACTTTTCTCTTTGACATACACTGGCCTACTATTACATTTCGACGTTAAAAACAGGCGGTTTAAGAGAATGAAAAAGGATTTCGAATAAATCTTGATCACTGCATTGTCCTGTAGAAAGGGAACGTAAGACATCCCTCCTTTTTTGAAGTCTTTCTGGAACTTTCGTGTTTTATAATTTTTTAGGTTTGTAAAATATTTGTGGACAATCCATTTGCCATTGAAATATTGCGTTTGAAAAGTGCTGTGAGATGCCTCGACATAAGTCATTTGAGGTAAGTTATCTTTCGCAATCTTCATCATGGTTGCATTTTCATGTGTTGAATTTATGCTGAAACATTTGATTTTTGGCAGGTTTTCAGGCAAATATCGAACGTTTTTTACAAAAACAGTGTGTGAGACATCTGTGTAAAGTATGAACTCTAATTTTAATTTTCTAGGAAAAAGCTCGCAATTGTAGATGAAACCGGTGTCTGTATGACTTTCGACATCAAAACCAAACAGCTTCTTTTTCAGGTCTGATTGTTCCACTTGCTTTTCAGCTAGTTCCAATGCTAAATTTCCTGTCATCTGAATATCTGTAAATTTTCCAGGAGCCATCATGTAATAGTGTGGCTTGGAACGCTGATCAAGAAAATCTTCTCTGCTACTCCGGTGGTGGTGCTCTATGCATCAAAGCGCATAATTTTGCACCGCACCAACAGAGAATGCAAGTATAATTCAAAAAAATAATGCATTTTTTATCGCTTACAAAAATCTTTCTCCACAAAATCCAGTCGAGAGTAGCATCGGTCTCGATGACAAAAAAGTCATCCAATTTATTCTCCTGCAAGCTGAGGCGATTCCGCACAGCATTTATGACCAAGTTTAAATGCTCCAGGTCACTGCCATTTTTGACCATTGTGTTAAAAAAGATGAAGGAAAGTCATCCGACTAGCGCTAAAAGATTAAAAGGCAATGCACACTTGCGACTTATGCTTGTTTCAATTCACGATTAAAACGGTTTGACTGATTCTGAGGGGAACTGGTTTTTCCACTAGCGGATTCGAACTGCGGTGCTGTTGATTGTGTGAAAAATGTTTCTTTATCGCTACATTTAGCATGATAATACGGAGGAAGATGCTAATACGGTGAAAAATACTGACTTTCATACTTTAATCACAGCTGCAATTCATAGGTTTCTCTAACTATGTAGCAAACAACTTTTCCAGCCGCGCTGCCGGTGTTACGTCGTTTGATGGTCGGCCTACTTGCGATCCTGACTTTCATCTTGTACCCGGAAGGGATTATAAGCTCAACAGTTTGTCTGATAAGGCTTCAGTTGTTTCGAGGTGCCATTGGTATATGTTGAGCATCACTGCTTAGTCTCCAAAGCTGCCATTCCTGGACTACCGATTTGTGAAGCACAGCGCTATTAAACCACGAAATGCTATCGGTACTTGTCGAGTATGAGTTCAGGCTCATCTACAGGGACTAAAAATTTTTTAGGGCTTCGTTGTTGGATTTTCTGGTAAGCGTGTCTTTTGCTTGCATATGTTTGCCATGACTGCAATGGAAGTCCCTCTGTCAAATCAGCTCTATCAATATCTTGAGCAGAAAATGTATAGGTCAGTATTTTTCTTATTATTTATGTTTCTCTTTATATGATTTCATTGCTTTCGTTTGCCATTCTCGCATGCACTCTGTTTCTTCTTTCAGAGAAGCTTATGATTTGGCTTCACTGGGCGTCACGGAAGGCGACTGGGAGATTCTTGGTCATGACGCCTTGCAGAACTTTCAACTTGATATTGCCAAAAAGGCTTTTCACAGAGTTAAAGATACGCGATACCTGCAACTGATTTCTGAAATCAAGGTATCAAACTTTAGCAGTTTATTTTTCTGCTGCTCATGTGATTTCGTGCGCTGTAAAACTGATTAATTTCAGGTAATGATGAATAAAGGTGAGAAAAAAGAACTGATGCTTGCATATATGAAAGCATATGGAGGCCGATTCCGTGAAGCAGCCATGCTTTTTCAAAGTAGTGGCAATGAGCAGAAAACACTGGAAATGTTCACAGATCTGCGTATGTTCGATCAGGCGCAGGTTGAATTGAAAATTTTTTTTAACATTACGCAAAATCACTGATGTTTCAGCTGAAATATTACACTGATCCATAACGCCACTGGCCTTGCAACTGAAATTTTTCGGTGTTTGGTGCATTGCCTTTTGTGCGGTACGCACGATTGTTAGTGACACTCATCTGTGCTTGTTGTATGGAGGAAATGAAAGTTCAGGAGCTGCTTTCAACAGCTTCTGGCGAAACGCAGAAAGCGCTGATGCGACGACGTGCTGATTGGGCGCAAGATTCGAACGAGCCGCGTGTTGCCGCAGAAATGTTCGTTGCTTCGGGCGATTACGACAAAGCGATCAAGCTTATGATCGAAAATGACTGGACTGATATGTTAGCTTTTCGTGTTTCTCTTTTTCGGTGATTAGATCGTAGCAGCCAAGTTAAACTTGAGTGCTTAGGTGGTAAAAACTAGGAACTAGTGAAAGATAAGGACAAAGAAAAAAAGTGAGGTAAGACGTTTCGGTCCTTTAAATCACATACACCTTAACTAGCTATTTCCTAAAATTTTTTTAAACACGTAGCTATTTCGAAGAGTTTTTTTAGTAACTTAGGTTCTAAAAACAGGTTCTAATAATTGGCCAACGCACGGGCTGCCCTGCGAAGATGCACAGTTCCCCGCAATTTTTGTTGCTACCAGCACCGGCTTTTCCGGCAAATGCTTCTAGCTAAACAAATTAAGACTGGCCGCCAGAACTGTCAGGA